GGGGCTTTGAGACCTTCTCTAGAAGATTATATCTAAAAGATGGCAGAATCTCAAAATGGGATCTTCCAACTCCTATGAGGGATTCGACAACCGACATTGGCAACTCAGGAAGAGATTCATCTTCCTCAAGATCTGCCACCAGCTGGAAACATCTGACCTTAACAACTTCAAGTAATATCTCCTCTCCCTCAATCAAGGATTCATCCCCCATCACATCAAGACAATGACCTCACTGACACGGCGATCTCTACACATCCTTCTCGCATAGGTTGGCCAACCTGTGTTCCTCTAATTATTACAAAGGATTTGGCCAAAGTGTTCGTTGAGAAATTTCTTGCCAATTGAAAAATTTTTAAAGATTCTTCTCATCTCTGAGATTAGCGAGAATGAATGAGAATCACTTAAAGAGTACTTTCAACAATTCTCCGTCGAGGCATAACAAATTATGTGGATGGATTCTGAGTTATTAAGAGGGGTTTTCCTTGAGGGCTTCATCCTAACTATTTTTACTCAGCACTCATGCGAGACACAGTCCATTCATATGTTGATTTGATTCATCATATAGAAACTCAAATCTCTATGGATGAAGCCATCAATGCTCATATAAAATAATTTAAGCAAAGTAATGGGAAGTGTAAGAATGCACCTCGAACAGATATTCCACCCTCACAGTGAAAGAAGCAAGGAAATTACAACTTGGCCCCTCAACTCTCGCAGCTTCGATGTGAACCTCGACAATAGGAGTATATGCCACTTAATATGTCTCGAGCAAATATATTGATGGTTATCCGAGATCAGGAGAATGTGAAGTGGCTAAATCCTTTAAAACCTAACATTGATAATCATGAGCAATACTGCCACTTCCACCGTAGTCGTGGACACACTACTTAAGCTTATAGATAGCTCAAGGATGAAATTGAGAGATTGATCCTATAAGGATAACTTCGGCAATTCATTAAAAACCCACTTATTCGAAAGGCTGGTCCCACTGGGGATGGAATCAACAACAACAAAGATGATATTTGAATAATCATCAAACGGTTGGTGAGATTGAAACCGTTGCAAGGGGGCCCTCATTATCCTGTCAAGTATTAATCACAGCAAGCAAGGAGTTGGTACCTAAAAGTCCCAAATCGATCTCTATATTGCTTTTGATGACTCTCACTTAGAAGGGGTAAAGAGCCCACATCAAGATTCACTCGAGGTTAATGCTGGAATTGGCAACCCGTGTTACAATGTCAAGAGGATTTTGGTTGATAATGGAAGCTCGGTGGATGTCTTGTTTTCTCTACTTTTCTTAGTTTAGGCCTAGCCAGAGAAAAACTCAATCCCGCCTCAGGTCCATTGTATGGGTTTGATAATCGACCTGTACAAGTAGAAGGAACGATTAGCCTCCCGGTCATACTCAGAGAATTTTCTCGACATATTGCTCACTCAATTTAGTTCATTATAGTAAAGTTAGAATCGGCCTATATTTGGGAAGCCCTTTCAGTCGATCTTTGGGATTGCTGCCTCTAACCCTCACCTTAAACTAAAGTTTTCTACCCGAGTAGGTCTCTATATAATTAGTGGTGATCAGCAAGCAACACAATCCTACTATCTTAGGCAAGGTCAACCACGGGCATAAGATGCTGAGCTTTATTGACGCATACTCCGATTATAATTAAATAAAGACTAATCTTGTGGATGAAGAATCAACAAATTTTCAAACAGATAAAATATTGTACTTTTATCTGGTCATGTCATTCATACTCAAGAAAGCTAGAGCCATATATCAGTGTCTCGTGAATAAGATTTTTAAGGATTTATTAGGCACACGATGTAAGTATACAACAATAATATGTTGGTAAAAAGTCTTTAAAAATCATAACATATCTCTGACTTGGGACAATGCTTTCACCTTCTACTATGTTAAAATATGCTACTCAACCTTACCAAGTGTGCTTTTGGAGTCGCTTCTCAAAGTTTCGGTGTTGGGATGAGACTTTTGATAATCTATTCGCAGCAAGTTACTCTTGAGTACGGACTCTGACTAAAGTTTCCTACTATGAACAATGCTACAGAGTAAGAGGCTGTCATTGTCGGGTTAAGTCTGGCCATAAACTGTGAAGTGCAAAACTTGGTAATTCACACAGATTTGTTGACCTCACTTTTGGTGAGGTCGATCTTCCTCTAGATTCTCCTAGAACTTAGAGCTCCCTACCATAGTGTAGAAGTCACCTTTAGGATTCTTCTTAGGTGGATGCCCAATGATATAGTGTTGAATCAATCTTGATCACATCAATTTAATTTCGATTAAACAGGTTTGCACCAAATTGAATTTAATTAATTCGACTTCAAATTAATGAAGGCCAATTCAATCTAAAATATTTTAAATCATGTTATGTCAAGTCAATTCAACTTAATGTCTGTTTGGCTCGACTCGACTCTTGTTCAACTGTGAAGTGCAAAACTTGATAATTCACACAGATTTGTTGACCTCACTTTTGGTGAGGTCGATCTTCGTCTAGGATTCTCCTAGAACTTAAAGCTCCCTACCATAGTGTAGAAGTCACATTTATGATTCTTCTTAGGTTGATGCCCAATGATATAGTGTTGACTCAATCTTGATCATAGCAATTTAATTTCGATTAAATAGGTTTGCACCAAATTGTATTTAATTAATTCGACTTCAAATTAATGAAGGCCAATTGAATCTAAAATATTTTAAATCATGTTATGTCGAGTCAATTCAACTTAATGTCTGTTTGGCTCGACTCGACTCTTGTTCAATTAGACCCTGTCAACTTCGATCGACTTAAATTAATTTATTTTCTATTAACCAAAACTAAATCGATACGATTTAAAATGAAATTGAATTGTCTCAAATCCAATTTAAAGAAAAAGTTCAATGATTTCATAACAAACTAGTCGACATAGATTTGATATGCACTTGTTGCAGGCTAGAATATACGCGGCGGTAGATTTTATGAATTCGCGTTCGAACATTGCACGAATATTCAGCACACAAACAAAAAAGATAAATGAACACCAAGATTTTTACGTGGAAAACCCGAAAGAGGGAAAAAACCACAGGGCCTCGCCCAGTTGTAAAGTTTCACTAGTGTTTTGTTTGAAGTATAAAGATTGATCCGTCTTACAAATTAAGACGATCAGTTTACAATCAACTTCTCACAAAGTTACATAGTTCTGCAAATTCCCGGCGTTTCTCGAAAATCCGGCAGAGTTCCGGCGTCTTCAGGCGGCGGGAAGAGCTCTGGCGGTGGTCGAGGAGGAGCTTCTTCCTTCTCTTCCTTCTTCTCTTCTTCTTCTCTCTCTTCACTTGAGTCCACTCTTATGAAGAATGAGGGCTCTATTTATAATTTTTCTGGAGTGGCAAAGCCCGTAAATAGGTGTGATATCAGTGGCGAATTGGAGTGGTTTGAATGGACGGTCGATGTTGAATCCCTTGATCGTGCACCGTTCATCAGACATTTGAAGGCCTTAGTTATGTCGGAATTCGGTGATCTTGGGTTCGTTGGATTCGTCTCGTTGAGGCGTTCGATTCAAGTATAAGCTCATTAAAATCGGAGACCGTTTGGTAACTCAAATTGTAATTCGAACCTTCCAAGAGCGCTTAGAGTCTTCGATTTGGACCCATTTGGGCTCGGATTAAGTTGAATTTTGTGTCGTTGGGTTCGTATTTCTGAGATGCTCAGTTTGACTGTAAGCTCGCTGAAATCGGAGTTCACGTGCTCCCTGATTTAATTTTTGAAGTTTCCGGTTTGGGTTTTGTCTCGAGATTCGTGCCCGATCAAGATAATTTCATGATGACGTATCAGCACTAAATTAATCTAAATAAATAGAAATCCATTTTAAAATTTGGCGAGCATGCTTAGTCAAAATTAATCTAAAATCAATTAAATCATATTTTTAATTGTATTTTAAAATCAAACTGATTCGAAGTCAAATTAAGTCAGCTTGAATATAATTAAACGTAAATAAATCAAACTGAACTTAATTAATACAAAATTGACTCGTTTTCAGTTAATTTAATATAAATTGAAGAATAATTAATGTAAAATCATCACAATTAAATTCAATCCTTATTAAAATCCAGCAGAATCTACTTGTTAATTCAGCTATTTCACATCAATTAGCCCTCTAATACATTTAATTTCTTTGAATATAATTTGAACTCTTAGGATGTAAAGGTTGAATGGTTATTGATCTTTTCCCAAAGCATCTAGCCCTCATTCGCAACTGATTGCAGGAGAAAGAGGAGGCAGCGGTGACGTGTGTCTCCCCCATTCGAGCAAACCTAGGACAAGGGCGGTGCACGTATGTGACTCTTCCTCTATTCTTTAGACACTTCGATTATTGCAAGTGTTCCGTCTGGCCAAGTGTGAGAGGGCAACAGAGACAGTCGGTGATTGCATTCCACTTAGTCGCGTGTGAGAGGTATGGATGGCGGCAAAGACCCTTGGCCAAATGAAGTTTTGATGCACGCAACCGACCTCTATCGCTTTTTCTTTTGGTTCTCTCTCACAAAAAACCTCCTCCCTCTTTTGGCTCTCTCTCGCACACTAAACTTCTTATCCACCCTCTCTCTTAAACGGATAAACTTTTGTTTAAAGCCTGCAGCTCATGATTCTTCTAAATCAATCAACTTTATATGTCTTCCCTCCCAAGCTAAGTGATTGCATTTTTCCTTTCCATTTTAAGTGTTTATGTAGGGAGTTGCCTCAAATATTTTTCATCCACCTTCTTCATGTAAGGGGATCACATCTGATTCTGTTGAGATCAACATATATGTTGTGGGAGTTTCCAACTTCATTTTGCCTTGAGATTCGTGCCGATCAAGATAATTTTTTTATGCTGTATCAGTGATGTTTATTAAAAATAAAATATGTGAAATGAATTTTAAAACAAGTATATGTTAATCTTTGAAAAAAAATAAGAAAAATTTAATATTCATATGATCAAATTTTTATGAGCAAAATTTTATGCATAATTTATTAACTATCTATTAGTTTCTTAAAGGGACTTATCCATAAGGTTGAGTTTGATCGCTCGCTAAGTACTCCATGCAGGTCGTCTGCTCAGTTCTCCCTTCCCAATTTCGCTTTCCTCGCAGTTCGCTCCCCTCCGGCGCCAGCAAGCGCTCTCACCGCCTCCTCACCTCCCTCTCCACCGCGTCCGATTCGTCCGCCGCCATCCGCCTCGTCCGCAAATTCGTCGCCTCATCCTCCAAATCCACCTCCCTTCAAGCCCTCTCCTTTCTCATCTCCCACTCCTCCCCTTTCTCTCTTCATCTCTATCAAACTCTATCCGAAGCCCCTTGGTTTCAATTCAACCCCAAGCTCGCAGCCTCCCTCATATCTCTCCTCGAGGACCAGCATTGCACCGTCGATGCCCTTACCCTACTCTCCCAATCGGCCTCCGGTCTCCGCCTCCCGCGTCATCTCGCTCTCTTCTACTGCGACCTCATCGACGCTTTCTCAGATCGAGGATTGAAGGTACAAGTTCACAGATCCTACGCCCGGTTGAAGGAGATACCCTTTTCCGGGAGGAGACCGTACGAATCGATGATTAAGGGAATGTGCTTGATGAAAATGCCGGAGGAGGCCGAGGTATTTCTGCGGGAAATGGGTTTGGCAGGGTTCAAGCCCTCGCCATTCGAGTTCCGGCAGGTGTTGCAAGCCTATGGTCGTGTTGGAGCCTTTGCGGAGATGACTAGAGTTCTTGAATCGATGCAGGAGAACGGTATGGCTCTCGATACCTTATCTGCTAACACGGTGCTTTCTTGTTATGGAGATCATGGAAAGTTGTCAGAGATGGTTTCATGGATTCAGAAAACGAGAGAATCAGGCGTTGGCTTCTCTATTCGAACTTTCAATTCTGTTCTGAACTCTTGTCCTACGATTGTGATGATAACAAAAAATGTTTCCTCTCTGCCTCCTTCCATTGAGGCCTTGTTCAGGAAAGTGGATGAGTCTTCTCCTTGCTTGAATGAGTCATTGTTGTTCAGAGAGTTAGTTAACTTCCCTCTTTTGTCTGCTATGTTGGATTGGTCTGATTCAGAAGTGAAACTGGATTTACATGGACTTCACTTAGTGTCAGCTTACGTGATCATATTACTGTGGATGGAAAAGATTAGAAGTTGTTTAGTTGCAGGAAAGCTTGTGCCTTTGGAATTTTCTATCGTTTGTGGATCTGGCAAGCACAGCAAAATAATAGGGGAGTCTCCTGTCAAGAAGCTGGTTTCAGTGATGATGTTTCAGTTGAAGAGTCCTTTGAAGATAGATAGGAACAATGCGGGTAAGTTTGTGGCTAAAGGGAAGAAAGTTAGGGATTGGTTGTGCTGATTAAGGACATGAGAGGTTCTTTGATACACATCTCTTACTGCTTTGTGATTTATCTCACATCAATAGGGGCTGTTAGGGTACTGATAGGATTTCTTAAATTTTATGAATCCAGCTTTAGTAAATCTTGCTGAATATTGATCAATTGTAAATCTTGCCTATTTGTTTCAAGATTTAAAGATTTATGAGAGGAAAAACCTTAAAATCCATTAAATCCTATGAGTGGCAAAAACAAAATTTATCAAAATAACAGGATTTGAAATTGTCAAAAACAAAAAATTTCAAAGTATTTATAAGCTAAATCTTGCTTAAATCCAGCCTAAAATAGGATGATGGCATTCTTGTTATTTGTCTTAGGGTTTCAATTATTTGGAGTTGTGGTATAGAGAAGAAGGATAGTAGAGATAGATGAGGAAGATATCGCCATTGCTTATTCCACTGGAAACCAATTTCTAAAATATGAGAGGAACACATTTATTTCCAAATAGACGAACTAAATTTCTAAAAACAGAATGCTGAAAAATACCATCAATTACTTTATTTCATATATATTTCATGCACACGGATAAGCAGGGCTATCATTTTGCCTTTGTACTTAGTAATTGCCACATAAAACAAACATATAGATTCACACATCTTTTACGGTATAGCAAGCGTTCATATTTACAGAAATCACATCATATCGAAGTTTCAGTATTTTTTTCCACCGCATTCTTTCCATAAACAGGAAGCTGATCCTTGATCGTTTCTGATATTCCCTTGCTCTCTTCTTCCTTTGACGTTGTTGTATTTTCTGTTTTCTCTGCACCCTTGGCCTCAATTTCCTCTTCAGCTTCTGTGAGCTTCTTCTTTTCTGGCACTTTACCCTCTTCAGCAGGGAAAGAAGTTTCTTTTGCCTTCTGCTTCAGCCCTTTCTTCTTCAATTTGGTTTTCTTACCTCCCTGTTCAACAGGATGCTGATTAGTTGCAAGTTTTGATAAATAAATCACAACCTATGAACTAAACTATAGCTCGTAGAAAAATGATTTTAATTACCGAATCCGAGCCGGATTTCGAACCAGAGTCAGAGTTAGATTTGCTCGAGACGGATTTGGAACTGACGGAAGATTTAGAGCTCGAGGCTGATTTGGAGCTAGATTTTGAACTCGTACTGGAATCGCTATGGCATTCAAGCTTGTTGACTTCATCACTATTAACCGGTGCTCCTCCATCTTTTGTTTCACTTGCTTTCTCTTTCAGCTTCCCTTTAAGGGCCCTTCTCTTGTGCTTCTTCTTCAGACGAGCTTTCTCCTTGGATTTTTCTTCATTATATCCCTGTAATTTCGAATTAGAAAGAACCGACATATATGTATGTAAGTGATTTAATTTTTCTTCTGTAAGACTAACTAATGTATATGCATTATATATAAACATTTTGAATCATAGTATTTTTAGTTTCAATATAAATTCTGATTAAAGATTATATTTTTATTCTTTATTATTATTATTATTATCTATTAGAGGCATATTTTACCAACTTTTAATTTTTTTCTTGATTTTGTTTAGTATTCTATTATTATGCGATTAAAAATATGTCTGATCAAAACATAGCTGCTTAGTTTTTTTCCTTCGTCGATTTACTTTTTTTGAATAAACGTTTTAAGAGAGATACTTCTAGATTCGTTAAATTTTAGTAACGGTGGGATTTAACAAATTTTATATTTAATCAATAATAAGGTCGAAACAGATTTTATAAAAAATAATAAAATTTAAGATTCTTTGACAGTTTTTAAACTAAATATTGCTTAAAATAGAGGATCAAATAACCCTAGTCAATGTTGTCTCTTCTCTTCGACTTTTTTTTTTTTTAAGGAAAATATACTGATGATAAAAGAATTCGTTATCTCAATAAATCTATATTTTTATGCTTGTAAACACCTTTATTTTTCTTGCGTAAGCATTACTAAGATTTGTTTTTTATTATTTAATTGTAGACGTTTGACATGACGTCCAGCCAAGGAAAAGTCAAATCCTCCGCCAACTGTTGATAACTATTTTTAAGATTCAGTTAGAATAAAGTGAGAACATTTTTTTTCATTATGGAGTTTACAAAATTTTCATAATCTTGTTGGTTCATCCTTATTAATTTGGATCAATATTCAATAGAATCAAACTAGTTAGTAGTTTTGTTCTACTTCAACTGAGCAGCTCGATTTTAAAATAAGTAAAATAATAATAATAAATATTGAGAAATTAAAAGTATAAAATATACTTTTGTAGAGCCTGATTTAGAGCTATCATTAGAGTCACTTCCTGAGCCAGATTTGGAATTGGAATCGGAACTATGATGATGACACTGAGGAAGTTCATCCCCATTCTTCTCTTTTAATTCTTCCTTATTTTTTTCAACTGTGTCATCGACTTCAATGATTTTTGAATCAGAGCCTAAGTTCTTGCTTTCCTGTACATGAAAAGCAGACAAAATTGGACATAAAATTAAAATATAATGAACTAAATGCATTCATCATATAACTGCATAAACATCAAAATAATAATAATATTGTAAATATTTACCATGTCAAATTATGCTGATACTGATCTCCTCCCTCTGCCTTCGTCTTCTGTTTTCTCAAGCTTCTCCAACCATGGCTATTTGTAGCATCACAGGCATCGAGACCTTCCTCGGCAAGAATAATGGATTGGATAGAAGGTGATTAAATTATTATTAATGGTGGGCACACAGTCCTTGGATGCCTGACTCTAAAGTTTGAATTTTAATCTTCTACGAGGTGCAGAATTGGAATTTAATTGAACGTCACATCAACAGATTATAGCATACAACGCTGATCTTTGTCTTCTTATTAACTGCACTAGGAAAATATATATAATTTAATTGTTTTTTTTTTTAATCATTACTAGTATTGAGATCCCTCTCGGAATTGGTAATTTGAATAATACCTTGATTAGAAGAGAGCATTTCTCATTGCAAGCTCGTATGAGAATCAGCTTATTTTGTTCTCAAAAATGGATAGATCAGAACTTGACCTAAATCATAAGTTTGTTATGTAATTTCCATCAAAGCAAAATCATTTAACCATTCACAAGGAGTTTGAAATGTTTCAGCAAACAAATGGAGGATGTTTGTGAAAGGATTGCTGCAATCGGCATGGAATCAATCTATTTGCATGACTTTAAACTAATACAACATTCTAAGTCCCATATCAGTTTAGGTTGGGTTTGTCAAGATGCAGCCTAACTCATTGAGACAATGTTTTTATTACTTTTTAAAACAAAATTTTAATAAAAATTTAAATTGTTTTAATTAAAATTATGTTTTAAGAAGTAATAAAAAAGTCGTCTCAAATAAAACCTAAAACACTAACAACTTGGAACGAATTGCTCAAGAGCTAGTCTTAAATCTATTCCTTGACAATTAGTTTTTGAATTCGACCTAGATGCTTGAGATGTTCTCCATCTCCATTCAATAGGGGTGCTCACCTAGAATACTAATCAATTTGTTGAGTTTACTCGGCTAAACCATCAACTGTCCAAGTAGTTCTCGCCTTAAAAACTTGTAGTCTGTATTTGCATAGGGTATTATTCTGTAGCATAAAAGCTGTTTAATCGCTTGAAATAACTTCTAACCCACCACACAATCACAATGGATCATCCTATCCTACTACACTCAATTGTCAATTTTGTAACGTCAGCCTCGATCTTCAATTCCAAATAAAGTGGTCAAAAGTCAAGCAAACTCACTAGAATCTAAAGAAAAATTCCTGCACATTGAATTTGTTAAGATATACAGATAGTTTTACTTGTTGTTATGTACACCTGGCTAACTATTGGCCATGTATTGTTAATTGCTCTTAAGTCATTTCTAACCACATGTTTGTAACAGAATTCTTGAAAATCAAATATAAATAAGCCTACTCATCCAAGACGGAAGTGGCTTTTCCCGCTAATTGTTTTCCGCCTTTTCTGCTTTCAATTCTCTGGTTATTACCAGAGAATGATTTCTTACATGGTATCAGAGCATTGATCCATATATCAATTTTTTTTCTTCAAATAAAAGTGTATGAGAAATTCATCTACGATGTCTTCTACAAATCAAGAAGAAGAAATAGCAACTCCAAGGATGAACGATCTACCGCAGATTCCATCATCACTCAAATTCTTGATGGGAAATATCAAGAATATTATTTCTCAATCCCTCACAGCAGAAAATTTTCCGATCTGGAGATCACAGGTACACAAACTATTTCGTGCAAATGGTTTTGAAGGATTTTTTTATGGAAGCAATGAAGCACCGTCAAAATTCAAACAAAATGCCACAGGGCAAAACATTGTAAATCCAGATTATACAAATTGGAATCTATTAGATCAAAATCTTGCAGCAGCTCTTTATTCAGTAATTTCTCCAGCAATATTACCGTATGTGCTCACTGTTGAACACAGTAAAGACATATGGAATACCCTGGATAAAAGACTTCTATCAAGCACCAGATCCAAAATAATTCAACTCAAAAAAGAAATGCACCATTTGACTATGAAGGATAAAACAATGAGTCAATACCTGTTAGATGTCAAAACAAAAGTAGATTCACTAGCAGCAGTTGGGTACACATTGGATGATGAAGATGTCATTCATTATACGCTAAATGGATTGCCAAACACGTATTAGGCGTTTAAAAAAGCAATCCGAACAAATCTATAGCCATTAAATTTGGATGATTTGTATACATTACTATGTAGTGAGGAAATTAACCTTGCTCATGAAACTAGCAGAGAACTTCAATCACTCCAGCTCTCGGGCAATTCCACAGCATTAGCAGCAGCAAGAGGACGTAAGAGGAGGAAGAAACTCATATAACAATCGATCACAGTCAGGTGCTGCAAATACAACGAATGCTACAAATACAAATCGAGGAGGTAAAACGACTAGACCAGCTATAACATGTCAAATATGCGGAAAATATGGTCATTCAGCAGTAAAATGCTGGTATAGGCATGATGAAAAATATAACACAGAACAACCAGTTACAACATTCTTCAATTCGCAATCACAATCAGAGTCTGCTGATTGGTATCTTGATAGTGGAGTATCCACACATTTGACGTCGGATCCTACACACCTGCAAAATTCTCAAATTTACAATGGACATAATCAAGTTACAATAGGAAATGGTCAACAACTGTCTATCAAGAATACGGGCAAAGGACTTCTAAAAACTCCTTCAGTTATTCTTCAATTGTCTGATATAAATCTGGTTCCCAATTTAGCATTCAACTTATTATCAGTTCACCGATTGGCCACTGATAATAATTGTTTCATCACATTCTCTGAACATGGTTATGAGATAAAGGATCAGAAGACGTTCAAGACTCTTCTCACGGGACCTTGTATTAATGGAATTTATCCATTCAAAACAAAGTCCAATCCAGTCAACAACATCTCCAAACTTGCTCTAGTATCACTACAAACTATACTAGATCTCTAGCACAGAAGATTGGGGCATCCATCTTCTCACACTTTAACTCAAATTGTAAAACAACATTCTGACATTTGCATTTCTAATAAGCATCAGCAGCTATGCAATGCTTGTCAAATGGCTAAAAGCCATCGCCAACCACATTCTGTATCTCAAAACAGAACCAATTCTCCTTTTTCTCTAGTTCATTCGGATGTATGGGGTCCATCACCCTCCATATCTACCCAAGGATATCGATACTATGTATCATTCATTGATGATTTTTCCAAATACACTTGGGTATACCCATTACTACAAAAATCTGAAGTTGTTTACAAATTCATTGAATTTATGAAAATGATACAATGTCAATTTCATAAAACAATTCGCATTCTTAGAACAGATGGGGGTGGAGAATACATCAATAACAAATTTCTTGCTGTTTTAAAACATAATGGCATTCTACACCAATATACGTGTCCCTATTCACCATTTCAAAATGGTACTGCTGAACGTAAACATCGACATTTGACAGAAACCATTAGGACATTGCACATACAAGCTTCCCTTCCACTGCATCTATGGGTTGATACTCTAATGACAGCTACCTACCTCATAAACAGATTACCATCTGTAAACACTTGCAACAAATCACCACATGAAAATTTATATGGTACTCCACCTACTTATGGGCACTTAAAAGTCTACGGGTGTCTTTGTTATCCCTGGCTCAAACCATATTCATCTACCAAACTATCTCCACTCTCACAACCGTGTGTTTTTATTGGGTATGCTTCAGCCCAAAAAGGATACCGTTGCTATAATCCTATTACAAATAAAACTTACACTTCATGCCATGTCATATTCAATGAAGCAGTTTTTCCATTTCAACAGAAACAATTCTTTGATCATAATTCTCACCCTTCTTCCATGGTTACTCCACCACTTCTACTTGTACCTACTGCCAACTTACCTAAAAGACCTGCCAGACATCAAGATGTTAATTTGAATACTGCTACTACAAATCAAGCTGTCAGATTACACAATGTACAAAGAGTTCAACCAATTGCCAATGACTTCATCAGTCATTCAAATATCAGACAGAATTCTCAAGTTTCACACTCAGAATATTCAAATTCTCAGAATGACTTAAATAGTCAAACTGAGCAAGTCATTTCAAATGCTCCAATCAGCAGTGATACATCAAGTCATCCAGCTAAAGTACAGCATCCAATGATAACCAGATTCAGAAGTGGTAACATCAAGCCAAAGCAAATTTTTGATTTAGTTAACATCATAGAAACATCAGAACCAACCACATACCATCAAGCAGTGAAAACAGAGCATTGGAGGTTAGCAATGTCACAAGAATTTCAAGCTCTTCAAGCCCAAGGAATATGGGAACTAGTTCCTGCTTCACCATAAATGAATATACTTGATTGCAAGTGGATGTTCCGGACCAAAGTGAAATCGGATGGTTCAATAGCAAGATACAAAGCCAGGTTAGTAGCTAAAGGCTTTAATCAAGGGCATGGATTAGACTACACATAAATGTTTAGTCCAGCTGCTAAAATAACTACAATTTGAGTCTTCATCACTATTGCATTACAATACAATTGGAAAATTCATCAACTTGATGTTTCAAATGCTTTCTTACATGGCATATTAACGGAAAAAGTGTACATAAAGCAACCTATGGGGTTTCAAGATTCAATTCATCCAAATTATGTATGCAAACTCAAAAAGGCATTGTATGGGCTCAAGCAATCCCCACGTGAATGGTATGCCACATTATCTAACCATTTACAAGAATGTGGATTTAAAATCAGTATGGCAGATCCGTCGTTACTGACATATCAAAAAGAAGATATTCGGATGTACATGGTCATATATGTAGATGACATATTATTAACAGGGAATTCACAAACTGTAGTCACAAAACTATTGGTTAATTTACATACCAGGTTTCAAATGAAAGATCTTGGTTCCTTAAATCCATTTCTTGGACTACAAGCAGTGTTCACTGATTATGGAGTTCTGTTACATCAAAAACAATATGCGGAAAAAATTTTAAACCGAGCTGGAATGCAAGAAACAAAACCGATGGCAATGCCAATGTCAGGTAAAGTCACTATAACAGCAAAATCTCATGAAGAATTTTCAAATCCTCAAGTATACAGGCAGATAATAGGAGCACTGCAATACTTGACATTAACTAGACCTGACATTCGATTTGCAGTGAATCAATTGAGCCAGTCAATGCATAAACCACTGAACATCAACTTTGAAGCTCTCAAACGGTTACTTCGGTATATCAAAGGGACCATTGATTTTGGTATACCTTTATATAAAAATTCTCTTACTTTACGTAGCTATGTGGATGCAGACTGGGCCAGTAATACTAGTGATAGAAAGTCCATATCAGGATATTGCAATTTTCTAGGAAAATCACTAATTTAATGGAAAGTTAAAAAGCAGACGACTGTTGCTAGATCGTCTACAAAGGCTGAATACAGAGCATTAGCCATAGTAACAGCTGAAGTCATCTGGTTAAGAAGACTACTAGAAGAATTTCACATTCATCAAAAAGAACCTACCATGGTTTACTGTGACAATACCTCTACGATAGCCTTAGCAAACAATCCAGTGTTTCATGCTAAAACGAAACACATAGAAGTTTATTGCCATTTTATTCGTGATTGTATACAAAACAAAAAGCTTACAGTACATCACATATGCACAAATGATCAGATAGCAGACTTATTCACGAAACCCCTTCCAGTTCTTCGATTCAAAACTCTTGCAAGCAAACTAATCCAGATGATACCAAGCTTCAGATCTTCGGAGCAGAGCTCAAGCAAGCAAATTGATCTAGGCGATGCCCAGCTCAGTTTGAGGGAGGGTGTTAAGATATACAGATAGTTTTACTTACTGTTCATGTACACGTGGCTAACTATTGGCCATGTATTGTTAATTGCTCTTAAGTCATTTCTAACCACATGTTTGTAACAGAATTCTTGAAAATCAAATAAAAAAAATCCTACTCATCCAAGACGGAAGTGGCTTTTCCCGCTAATTGTTTTCCGCCTTTTCTGCTTTCAATTCTCTGGTTATTACCAGAGATTGATTTCTTACAGAATTGAGATAATTTTTTTATGAATTGTGCTTCATAAGTTCAATTGAATTGAATATTCTTTGCTTAAAGGAGTATAGCTAAGTTTTTAAAATCAATCCTCTAACTTTGATTCAACATTCTCTTAAGAATTGTGTGCCTGAATATAACGAAGAACAGAAACCAAAATATAGATCAGCCCAGCAATTAAAGCGGTCGAATAATTATACAACTGGAACATTAACAAAACATAGAAGATCATGTAATCAAAACGAACCAAAACATATTTGAGCCTTCCCGCAAGCCACTCCACTCCTCAACTAAACCCATGTGCAAATAAATCTCCAAGAAAGTTATGCTGACTCAAGAGCTTAATTAAGAAGAGCCTGATTTGGTAAATGATCACAAAATTAAAACATACAAGCATATTGGTCATACTAGATCAAATAATCGAAATATGGAATATATTTAAGTGATTCAAATGCAGGAAAAATAGCATATTAAGTCAAGGCAAAAATTTATCATAGCAAGGAAAGCAAATAAGATTACAAAATTTGAACATAGTAGTTGATTAAATATCCAATGGCATAAATTCCACAATATCCCAGAATTTCCTCGATGACGACCAAGAAAATTCTAGACAACAGAAATACTAGGCATTTAGCAGTAGTCAAACAATCTAAGCCATCTTCCATAACAAAACTATTTAAAATTTTACCTCGTTTAAAAATGCAGATAAATAAGAAAAAAACTTAGTCGAGCAGCTCCGAAATCTGTGTCTTTCTGAATGCATCAACAGCTTGCAACTGTGCAAGCGTAATCTTGTTGGGGAAAATATTATCTGCTTTCATCCTCTCCCTAAACCCATATGCTGGCGTTTTGGCATTTACATAGGCCTGCAGTACTAACTGATACTGCCTCATCCTACCAACATAACCTATCTGCCTTAGCCTATGAAATATCTTCTCCGCATTATGAATGTCACCCCTGTCGGCATATTTTTCCAACACAGAAATATAAGAGTTATAAAGTGGCTTGACCTGATTCTGTTCAGAAGCCTTGTGCAAAATAGTATCAGCTTTCTCAACCTCCCCAGCCTCCACATAGAGATTCACCAGAGCATCCCAAGTCAAAGGGCCAATCCGACACCCATTATCTGACATCCTCTTTGCCAATTCCTTCCCTTTGGATAAAAGCTTGTGATTAGCATAAACCTTCAAAAGAACATTGTAATATTTTGAAGAAAGTCTCTTCCATGATTTCATCATTTTCTCAAATACTTTCTCAGCATCTTCCACTTTTCCCAGCTTGCCCCAAGCCTCAATGGCAGCTAAACATTCTTCTAATCGGGGATTTTGCTCGCACACATTCCAAATTCTCTCTACATCATCAGTCTTCCCAAGGGCCGCATATAGAGTAAGAAGAGGTTTACAGGCAGCACGGTTCTTACTGATGTCATCCCCTTCAATATTCTTTAATAATTTCTCAGCCTTCTGATTTTCACTTGCAAAAATATAGTGCTTTGCGATTACAGCTTGCACATATAAGTCAGGCTCAATGCCTTCTGCCTTCATTGTTGCAAGAACCTCTTCCATGCCCGATATATCGTGTATGCGCCCTTTGGTATCTATCAAAAGCCTATATGTGAAGAGAGATGGCTTAACATCTTCCTTTTCCATCATTTTAAGTACATCAGCAATCTTCTTTCGGTCCACCCTTTTATAAAGCAATATTAGTTGGTTGCAAGCAAAGGTTGAAATGGGGAAGCCAAGATCCCGGATCTTATTGAATACTTCTTCTGCTTTTTTAACATTAACAGCAGCAACACAGTTGGCTAAAAGAGTTCTATATAGGAACTCGCCCCTGAAGGATTTGGGGATTTTATCAATGTAGTTTTCTGCCTTTTGAAGGCCTTGAACCTTAGCAACCAAGTCTAGACGAGATGCATATTCACGTTCTTCATATTCAAGACGCTTAGTTGTTTCCAACCACTCCATAAACTGTAAATTAGAATAATAAGATTATAACATTATTACATAAATTATTCTCACGGACATTAAAAAAAATTAAATCCATTAAACGGGTGCTTTGAATGGAAGATAAATTAATGATTCAGGGACATCAAACAAAAGAAAAAAAATGTAGCGCACAAAGGTCCTAAGAAAATACATGTCAACTTATGAAAAATGTAGATGATGACATCTATTCTTCTGTCACAAGGAAACACCATTTGCTTGAATTTTACAGAGTAATTCAAAAACTAGGCTCGGTCATTTTAAGAGTATGCTATCAGAATATCTGTTTAATATATTTCTTTTCTATTGACTCAAATGAACATATCTAGTAGGTTATAAATAATACCCGCAAAAAATCAAATTAGGCTTGACTAAATGCATATCAAATCATTAAAAGGAACATATGCAACAACAAAACTAAATAATGCAATATTTGCCAAAATGCCCCATTAAGATAGAGCTCTGATCGCACAGTACAATATTGATATTCAATGTAGAGAAGAGAATGTACCACAATGACTTGTTAAGAACATCCAAAAGTTGATTCTCAAATAAAACATGGGACACATGAGGGCACCATTTTGAATTTATTCCTGGATAAAATGATAATCAATATCTACATGTCTCATTTATGAGTGAAAGATAGGTTTTGCATAGAGATGAGTGAAGGCCACAACATCAAAATAGATCATTGGGGATTAGGGAAGGTGATTGTCAAGTTCAGTGAGTAGAAAGCAGATCCAACAAAGCTTGGCAAAGATGGTGGCAATAGAGCGATATTCAATCTAAAAGGGAAAGCAAACTATGATACTCTGTTTCTTAGCACTCCAATAGATGGGGTTTTAGCCAAAAATACACAGTTTGGTGGAGCGGATGGCCAAGAAGAAGATGAGATCTACCTAGGGGTTGAATCAGGGAATAAAGGGGGTAGAGGAAAAGAGGGATGACAGGTATAGGAGGGATTGTTTATTGCTCTTCCCATTGATGTTTATTGTTCTTCCCATTGATTCAAACGAATATACGAGATTTGAATTTGGTATGTTATAAAAAATCCTTCCACAAATCAATTTAGTTCTAATTAAATGCTAGTCAAATCATGAAAGATAATATTTACAATGAAATCAATTAAATGATTACAATGAATATATTATACCCAAATATATGTTTTTAAAGTGAAGAAATTCAGCTACAACTGAGAATTATTTTTTTTTTCTCAAAATTAGAAATCCTTTAAACAAACTAATATGTAGCTAGACTGCCAGACAATTATCTTGCCAATAGAAACTAAGAAACAACAATCACAAAAGTAAAAAAAAACAATGGACCACTTTATAATGAGCTAGCCTACAATTTATCATATATATACACAAGAATTTAATACATGAAAAACAGTTTCATCTTATTATTCTTTTGAAGCGAACAGGGGAAATTTATTGTAAGTTCTCACCATGCAAAATTAAGTTATTTTATTGTATCGTAAGTGCTAGTTAGTTTAGTTGATAATGATATTAGATGTTGTTACATAAGACATCAAATCAGATGCCTCCACTAAATTTATGCTTTGGTGCTCAGACGGCCACCGACTAGCGTCGGACTTCAGCCCGACCAACGCCATAATTCTGCCCGACCACCGAAATTTCACCCGGCTATCGATTGATGTCAAATTTCCGCTCGACCTCCAACCAACGCCGGACTTCTGCCCAGCCACCGACCGACACTAGACTTCCACCTAACTCTCTCTACTATTGTAATTTCACCATCTTTGAATTACAAGACAGATCAAGCTTTGTAATTCATTCAAAAACTAGTGGTATCATTTGAATTGGGCCAGGCCCCGTATTTTTTTCCTTTTTCTAGGGTTTCCACATTAAAAACTTAGGTGTTTTATTTTTTCTGTTTGTGTGTTGAATATTCGTGTAACGCTAAAACGAAAAACACCCTCACTCTACTACCGTGTATATTCTAGACCACAACAAGAATAATATAAATGTGTATGAGAAATAACTTCTAAAGTTAAAGCAAGGTGGTTAAAATAGAAAAGTGACACAAGAGTTGGGCGATGAAAAAAATCATGGCGACTTAAAGATAAATTTTATAAAATCACAATATGTTGATAAATATGAATATTGAGCAATAAAAATATGAGACATAGCACAAATTCTTAGGTATTTATATATCAAACACCTAAAATTTTATATTTATTTACATAACACTCAAATATCTAAATCACTTCAGAAAAAACCATTAATCTTAACTTAATAAAAGTAAAACATTTTTTTTGCATATACTTCGATGTGATTTAAACATTATAATGTTACACAAGTAAATAGAAAAGTTTAGGTGTTGGTATATAAATACATAAGAATATTGAGGTATGTATGTAAATCCCATGAAAAAAATATCGGTATCTAAGTTGAGTGTAAAAAAAAAAAAATTTATGATTGATGTATAGTAAAAATAGAAAACATAAATTAAAGAATGACTATATTAAAAGAACAACGGGATGATATCTATTGAATATAAGGTAATTAAAACATAAATTTAAGTGATTTTGATAAGTACAAAGAATAATAGATAATGAGCCCATTAGATGAATACATTAAACTAGTGTCAAAATATTAGGAAGGAGAACGGGATAAGACCTATGCTCATATGAATAGAAATTATGCAAAATGATTACAAAAAATAGGTTTAATTCCTTAGCTAACACTATAAAAATGAATGAAATTTGTGAATTTGCAAAGTCAACCCAAAAAATTGGGATAAGTCTTGATACGTAACCAAAAATCAGCTTGATCAGGTACGAATCTTGATGAACTCCTAAATATAAAGCCTTTAAAATTAAATTCAAGACCATCCAAATTCGAATTTCAACAAACTTATAGTCAAATTGATCAGCTCGACGAGACGAACCTAAAACTTCAAAATGGCCTAATCCAAGTACAAATAAGCTCAGATGCATAATGAAAACTTTAGAATATTAATTGTGGGACTAAATGATCTCCAAATTTGGCATTCTTGTAGCCAAACTTAGCATCTCGACAAGATAAATCCTACGAGCCTAGGATACTTATTCTAATAACATTATGGCACTTAAATGTTGAATGAATGTTTTATGATCAAGAGAACTAATACGAACCATCTAATGAAGAGTTTTTTTATTTTCACATATTTATGGGGAATGCCACTCTCAAAAATCTAAATATACCCCCCCCCCCTCTTTTTCTACATGGAGGGAACCCATGGGCTACAAATTCCAAGGCTTGAGCAACCCAGATCTACACCATCGTCAGACCACCACCTGACCGTCGTCACCCGACCACCGCTATTATCAAATCTTTGCCGCCCAATCAACATTATTAGGTTGTTGTTGCCACCTAATCAATAATGTCAAACCGTTGTCACTCAGCCAAAGCCATCTAAACGCCTTTCATCTCATACCAACTCCACGATATTTTTCACAAGCTCCTCTTACTCTTGTGGCCTTGCCGTCTCTAAATAAAAGTATGGACAAACCTATATAATTAACACTCACATAGTGGAATCATTTCATTGGGCAAAGCCCCATGATTTTTCCTCTCTACGATTTTTCCACATAAAAATTTTGGAGTGCTTGATGCCCTTATCATTTATTTGTTTGTGTGTTGGATATTCATGCAATATTAGGATGCAAAACTCTCTCATTCTACTGCCACGTATTTTTCTATCACATCCATCTAAAAGATGGATGAACAGCTATACAAGTGCATAGTCGAGGCCATCCATGAAGAAGACACATTGCAAAAGCATTACATACTTGCAAAGCTAACAAAGCCCAAGCTTCACACAAGCAAGGTGACTGTTTTTATAGTACTCATCTACAAAACATGTTGTGATTTGGAACCAAAAATGATAAAACCACAAAGTATAGCGCCCAAAAGAGTTTTTTTTTTTTTTTAAATCAAGGTATTTCATGCCAAATCCTACCAACCCTTGGCAAGAACCCCAATTACAACAGAAAACTACAAAGCACTCAAAGATAGTTTTTTTGGTATTGCTATAATTGACATCAAACATTAAAAAAACATACAAGCAATCATGTGATTGTTGTTTAGTTAGCCATAATCAATATACATCTTCTTAGCTATGATTGTAGCATTCATACCCAGGAACATATTAATATTAGCATTGACTTATTATTAATTAGCTTGTCACTGAATGACTAAAGAAAGCTTATTTATCCAAGTGTTGTTATTCAAACATTATCATCAAATTCTTTGTCTAAAATCAAAATTGAAGATCACAATAACAACAACAACAACAGCCTTTATCCACTATGTGAGGTCAGCTACATGAATCATTTTTCTCCATTTTGTCCTGTTAAGAGTAAATTGAAGATCATATAAAAGAAATACTTTTCAGTAAATAGAGTAATCAGCCATTGAGTTTTAAATGAATTTTCATTTTGCAAGGTTCAATGTTGTGATCAACAGATCAACATAATGAAATCAATGAATAAAAGAAATGGATGAAAAGTCATATCAAAGGAAGGTAGAATGTGGTGGAACCAAAAAAGCTAATAGCTTTTAAAATGTAACTTTACAAGCCCATTCAAATATAAACCATAACCCAAATTTCACAGCCAAATGGTGCAAATATTGGCATTTTAGAGTTATAGCATGCTACCATAAACAAATTACACACAAGCACGACTAAGAATAAACTGATGGACATATGCACCTTAATAAAGAAAAATAAGCATGCATGAATCTAAATGTACAAACTTACATATTGATGTAGTCAAGAATTTACTTTTTATGTATTTTTATTCTTTTCATGATATTGGAAGCTATGTATTTTATTTTTGTATTGTCCTATGATGAAAAACAACTAATGATCATGCTGGATTCGGTGCTCTCGGGTTAGTTCATACCATTGAGTTTTATCTTACTTCCCCTCCCCTTTTTGGTCGTTCAATTCTTCCCCCTTGTTGATTTGGTTGCTTG